GTTTTTTGTTTTTTGTTTTTGGCTCAAATTTAATTTGAATGCGAGCTTTAAATATAAAACCGAGTTCAATAAACGCTTAATGAGGCTTTGTGTAGGCGTTGCTAAAAAATCATTTTAAATTTTTACTTTTTTATTGAACTTTGCACTGAGCAAGGTTTTTTCGGAAATTTTTGGTATAGATAAGCGCTTAAGCCTTATCTGTATTAGATAATAATTGAGAAACCGATAATAATATATATATCAATTATATTAGTTTTCTGAGTATTCCTGGGTATAAAACTAGGGAATATATATATGGAGGGAGCACGGAAAGATGGAAAGAGAGACGGACAGTTATGTAGACAGACTGACAGCCAAGCAATATCGATTCAATTCTCAAAATCGATTCGATTTGCAAACTTTAAAGTAGAACTTCGATGCACTTGGTAGTGCCTGCTCGATTTCCAGGTAGAGCTCGCTAAACGTCCCTTAGACAAGCTCAAAACGTAACAAATGGCAACAGTAAGCCGCCCCCAATGCTTGTAGCTATGGAACATGCCTGTTTGCAGCGCCAAAGTGGGGCACACACAGTCTCTAATGTGGATAAGAGGCCAGCAGAATGAGGCAGGGGGCGGTAGCGGGGGCACAGATACAGAGACAGAGACAACTTGACACCCGCTGCTGATGCAGTTGCAGTTGCAGCACGCCTCCGCATTGGAGCCAAAGTGAATGCAACTTTTAAACACCTCCCCAGGGAGCTGGCAGCAGAGGCAGAGGCGGTGGCGGTGGCAGAGGCAGAGGCGGGGGCAGGAGGCGAGCGCTCCAACGTCAGCCAACTGTGTTTTTTATCTAATTAGGTAGTCAAAATATACAAAAAAGAGACAGCTTAATGCTTAGGCTAGCGAGCGTGTATGTGTGTGTGTAATCTAAACTGTGTCACTAAACAAAAAAATAAAATCTGAGCGCAGCAGAGATAGAGAGAGAGAGAGAGAGAGGGGAAAAAGACAGACAGCAGCTGCTGCTCAGCCCAGAAAATTGTGTCAAACAGATAAAAACTTTGAATGAAGATGAGACGGAAGCGAGGCGAGGCAGCGAGTGGGACGAGCCACGCCCTCTTTTGGATGGGAGGCGATTATGATTATAACCTCAATTCTAGGAGAAAACTGGCCCGAAAATTGTAGAGCATTTGAATAATTTTTAACAAGAATGCAATAAAGCAACACAAAACAAAGTAAATGAAACGAGTGAGACAAAGAAAGGGAGAGCGAGTGAGAGAGACAGAGTAAAGCGGCTAAAAGCCAGTGTACAAAGTAGGCGGCGTTGATTTAAATGGCACCCAAAAAGTCAGCAACGAAACGAGAGGGCAAACAGACAGCGAAAGATGTGGAGAGACGGAGAGGGAGGAGTGGGACAGAGACAGAGAGGAGATGGACAACTATTCAAATTGAGGTCATTCATCCCGCTTCGTTGAACGCGCTTAAGTGAATTATATATGTATGTGTGTGCCACTCTCTGTGTGTATGTGTGTGTGTGTGTGTGTAGCTGAAAGTTACATAGATACATAGTCATATGGAGAGGCATAGGTTACCCGTGCAATAGTTATGTGATGTGTCGCCAACTTGTGAATGGGGCATTAAAGTGGGGACATCTATCCATCCATCCATTCGTCCGTCCGTCCGTCTGTCCATTTGTCCCTCTGTAGCTTTTCAATAGAAAACGCCACTCAACCCATATCTATTTTGGGTGAAAGCCTTTCTCCATGGCAGCTAAGCGGCTTAGCTTTTTTTTTTCGATTCTTTTGGGGTTTTGCATGCCAGCAGCGAGGCATGAAAACATAATGAAAACACGTTAATTGCTGACAATTTGTGCGTTTATTTAAGCATTTAAATTTGATTGACTAACTGAGTGACTGATTGACTGAGTGACTGACTGATTGGCCAAATGCTTGGAGCAACTGAAGAAAGATCGTACAACGCCCCCAAAATCAAACTTTGATATCATCATCATCATCATCATCGTCGTCGTCATCATCATCTTCATCATCATCACACATCGTACGCACTTTACATATATATAAAACTTTTCAATTTATATTCAATTTTCGACTTCTCTCTCCCTCTCTCTCTCTCTGTCTTTCCCACTCTCTCGCTATGCTCTGTGTCTAACTCTTTTGGTTCGTCGCTTCATTTGCTTTTCATATGGGAGTAGGTCAGTTCAAAATTTGCATATGCCTTGACTGATTTTCGTTTTTGATTTCTTGCTGATTTTTTATTCATATTCGTCTCGTTTCGTTTCACGTCCCGCTTTGATTTCTGCTGCCACGCCCAGTTGCATTTATTGCCTGATTTGGGCAACCTCTGTCTCTGCCTCTGCCTCTGTCTCTGCCCCGCACGTGCCATGCGACGCAACTAAGGCGATTACCTTTCAGACCCGACGGCAATTTGTTTTGGCTTTTGTTGCCAAATCTTTGCATATTTCTTGCTTTATCTTTTTGGCCAGAGTGCGTGGGACTCACCTTTTGACACTCGCACTACGTTTATGCAAAGAGATCGCCTTCACATTTGCTGTAACTGAGCTGAAACCGAGCTCAGCTGAAAGCGAATCAGTTTTTAGCGTATTCAATGCTTCAAGCTGATGAAAGTAGAGCTCAGAGCCAATAAATATTTCAAGCCATCAATAATAGATGAAAGCTTAATCAGATATTGGCTTATTAAATGGAATACTATAACATAAATAGACAGCAAATGAATGGCTTAATAAAGATATGCAAGAGAGTAGAGTAGTAGGGGAGATGGGTATTACCTAATATGGCATAAAGAAGAGCAATCTATAGACAATCTTTGATTTCTTTTATTCTGTTACTTTTGATCTCGATTTCTGATAAATATCCATTGATCTATCGACCAACTTATCGATTGTTAAACTTCCCCAAACCAAGTCTCTCTCTCTTCCCTCTCCCCCCACGATTTCTGCTATACAAATACTCGTGAAGCACTATCAATCAACTCTTTGAATCGGAGTCTTAGCAGGTCAAGAGCTGTGTCAACAAGCCCTATCATCTATCCATCTATCTACCTATCTAATCTATGAGTTCAGCTATAGCTAAACGCCTATAAAATGTCCCAGGCAGTGCGCGATCAGTTAACAGTTAAGATTCTTTCGTGTACTGAAAATGCAGCCAGGTAAAGTGTTCGAGTCCCAACTAAGTTCCCACTGAAAGAGTATTTCCTTTTCAAGTTCTTCAGTTGTGCCTCCTGCTGCTGCTCCTGCTGGGCGCTGGCCCGGCTCTTGGCGAGCTCGGCTGCAGCTCGGATGGCTTTTGCTTTTGCACTGGCCATCAGGAGGGTGACCTGGTGCCGGATTGCACTGATTGCAGAGCCTTCTACAGGTGCGGCGTCGATAACATCAAGCACGAGCTCTGCCCACCCGCGCTCATCTTCGATGTCCAGCAGCTCGCCTGTGTGCCCGGCAAGTGTCCACGCTCGGACGGCGAGTGCGCCGCTCCGAATGTGACTACTACACGTACGCCTGCACCTACTACTGCGCCTCCTCATCCCTCACCACCTGCCACCAGCTGCCTGCAGCAGGAGGTGGAGTGCAGCTTCCATGGCCAAATTCTGCCGCACGCCGAGCATTGTCGCTTCTTCTGGACCTGCGTGGAGGACTGCCCAGTGCTGGGATTCTGTGAGCTGGGCAAATGGTTCGACCGCCAGAACTTCGTCTGTGACTTTCCGCAGAATGTCCAAAACTGTCCCGTGGGCAGGGACTGAGACTGCAATTGCTGGCGTGAATACACAACTGCAGCAGCAACACTGGCGGCAATAGCAGCAACAGCTGAGACAGCAATAGCAATAACAAGAGCAACAGCAACAGCAACAACAGCAACCGCAGCAACAATCGCAGCAGCAACTACATTGACATGAACAACTTTAACAACAACAACAACAACTGCGACAACATTGCGTTAATATACGCAAATTGCTTGACACAATTTTTATTTGCCCGTGGGCGTTGTGCGTTGGGGTGATGGGCGTGGCAGCTGCTCTTTGTGGTTTTTTTTTCATTTTTATTTTTTTATTTGTCTGTTACTATTGCTACTTATTGTTGCTGTTGTCGCTGCTGTTGTTGCTGCAAATTTAGCACGCAACTAACAATTTTAGCTGCTCCAGAAACAACAACCGCAACAACAACAACAATACATATATAGACACACCTTGGGGCAGTAGAAAAGAGAATTGAATTAGAAGTAATGCAATTTGAAATACCCTAACTTTTCAGCAAATACAGCAGGAGG